CCTTCATATCTTCCCAAAGAAGTTTGCATCCACGCAAAGTTAACTTCTTAAGCGAAGGCGGGAAAGTGAATATGCCAAGCTGGAGAGACTGACCATAAAAGAAGCACTTCAACGTTTGGAGGTTATGTAGTTGGCCAAGATTATCGAGCCAGTAGTATCCCCAATCCTCCCGTTTACCTGTATTAGAGATTTCCAGTTTCTTTAGATTCGAAATTCTTTTGACAACCTCCTCCGTGCATCTGAAATTTCTTATGCAACACAATGTTCGTAGATTTTCAAGAACAATAATAGAATCTTCCCCATCTATTTCTGCACTTGGAGGATCGGAAAGATTTATGTTTCAAAACAACTGGACATGACTTAATTCTGACATGTTCCATATTTCTGGTGGTAGTTGTACCGAGGCATCAATATACAGAATCAAGGTTTGTAAATTCCAAAGTTTGTATATTGATTCAAGAGGCCATCTCTGATTACATCTGCTACTAAGGTGCCGCATATTAACTAGTTTTATTATTTCATCTGGCAAGTTAATGCGATATTCTAAGCCCGTGTGCAATACTCTAAGTAGACTAAAACTTGCGAATACTGGAAGATTAAGACGCCCATCAACAAATAAAGAAGAACGCATGAGCGACATGGGTAGGTTTATGCAACGAGAATAGAGAATCTCTCGGTCTCTATGAATACTTACCTGGTGCACGTTGATGCCTCTGGGAATTTTATCGAAATTCTCATTCATGACATGAAAAAAGTTCTTCCTTTCAGCTTCTCTCTTGCATAGATCCCGTAAGAGATCATGAATCTTGCATATCTTAATTTTGCCATTCCATCTCCGCTCAAAATCCAAAACAAGATTTCTATCAACAAGATCCAACAAATATTCATAGGCAACATCTTCCAAACTGTTAAACTTTACTGGTTGTAGAATTCCTTCGGCAACCCATAACTTGACAAGCATGGCGACACGGATATTAAAATCTTCTGGAAAATTTCCCATATAAAGGAAACACCCTTTCAGATGATGAGGCAACTGGTTGTAACCTAAAGATAGTATCTTTAAAAATTGATCATCATTTGAAGTTAATTTTGAACTTAAATTTTCAGCAACATTTCTCCAATGACGTTCTGTTTTGATGTCCTTTGAGAGGAGACCTCCAATCACAACAACTGCAAGAGGAAGTCCTTGGCAGTTTTGGGCAATCTTCTTTCCGATTTCCACTAATTCTTGAGGGCAAGAATCTTCTCCGAATATTTTCTTACGAAGTAACTCCCAACTGTTATCTTCGTCCAGAAAACGCATGCGATGAAGGAAGCTAGAGGTGAAGTAAACAGCCGCATTCTCTAGCCTACCAGTCAACATGATTCGGCTTCCATTATTGTCATCTGGAAATAAGCGCTCCACATCATCCTAAACCTTGGTATCCCACACATCGTCCAATACAATGAGATACCTCCGACCCTTTATATTCTTATGCAAAACATCTTTTAATTGTGCACTGGTACTGCTCTCCGCATTGCTATCTTCATCACGCTTCTTCTCCTTGGCGCATTTTTTCATGGAATCTAGAAGCCCTTGAAGGATTTGTTGCACCTCATAATCTTGAGAAACTGTCACCCAAGCACGAATGTCAAAGTGATCCACAATAGATTGATCATCATAAACCTTTTTAGCAAGAGTAGTCTTGCCAATTCCGCCCGTCTCAACTATAGAAACAGTTTCACGTTTTGACGAAAATCTCGTTAGTTGTTTCTTGATCTTCATCATGCCATCATCAAGACCCACCACATCACCCTTGCCACTGGAAGCAGTTGATGAAGCAACAGACAACGATGACATTTTTGTCTGCAGATCTTGAATTCCAATCTCATCTTCAACCTCCATTTCCTCTTGCTTAATGGAATTGATTTCTTCCATTACTTTCTCCAAGTTTGTGAAGCTCTCATCCCCATTATTTGAAGATTCTGAAACAAGTCCATCAGAAATATGGGATTCAACGACATATTCTGCTTTATATATTGCATCTATGATTTTGCTCTCCAAACTTTCTATAGTTTCTCTGCTTTTTGGTGAAGAATTTTCAAGAAAATCTTTTAAAGAATTAACTCTTTCGAGAAGAGTTTCAATCTGTTGTTCATTTTGAGGAATCAGATGCTTGTGTAGGATGTGTTCAAGATTGTGAATAAGAGAGAGAAGAGCAGCAAAAGCCATCTCTATTATGTGCTCAAATTGAAATTAGGAGTTAGGACGGAAGATTGCTGCAAAATGTATGCAATTAGCGCAAATAACACCCAAGCTTTATACAAGTATTGTTATAGAAATTTGATATCAATTCGTAATTTCTTAATTGAATAACAGAAAATGAAGTAGGCTAGCTGTAAATATAGTTTCTTGAAACAGTCTGCAAATCTTTTTTTTATTTTTTTTTTAAGTGGTTTAATTTGACCCAGTCATTGTTCAAGCCAACTAGCACTTTTTATTCTTTCATGATATCATTGAAGTGTACCGTGTAAATAATCTTACTGTAAGAGACTATGTCTTCCTTTCACAACCAATTTATAAATTTAGTTAAAATGAAACATTACTTTCAATCACATATTCATGACTATTCATTGGAATTCATTACTATTCATCTTTTAAATGATTTAAAAATTTGACGAGTGGAAGCTATATCTTCTTTATTACTAAAGTCAATCAACTTACTGTATCAAGATTGACTGAGTCAACCGACCAAATCTAGCTCAAATCGACTGAGAGTTGGTCAAATACATCACAATCCACGCGTAATAGGCCATAGGATGATCAAGTGGATATTTTTATAGTAGATGGTGATAGGATTTGATATGTGAAATATTTAAATTATTTAACTTGAGGCGCAACAAATAAAGATTAGTTGTGCTATGTGTACAATCGAAGTTGACAATCTCGATTGACAATTGGACATATGGGAGGAGGACTCACGATAAATAAAAAAATCGTGGATCCCCCCTCATGTGAGTACATTGTCAATTCCGATTGTACAAGAAAAATAATTCAATATAGACCATCAAAAGTGTTCACATTCATTTTTAAGCTCAACTGGCTACTTGGTAAACTTCTAAATAATGAGTAACAATGCAAGTGCCTTGTGTACATGATAGTAATTTTAGCAATAATTATTATGTTGACAAGGACAAATGGACAATGAGAGAAAATTTAGAATAATTGGAATTTATCAAGTTTTAAGGTGGTTTTTCCTCTCATTTGATTTTGTATTATTTGGTTCTTTCTACTTTTATCTTTCTATCTTTTCTTCAAATATCCAAACTAAAATAATAATAATAATAATAATAATAATAATAATAATAATAATAATAATAATAATAATAATAATAATAATAATAATAATAATAATTACGATACTAATTGTCTTTTTGTGGACTCGAACAAATAATTTAATTGTGTAATTAGCCTTTTGTTAAGAAATGATTTTTTGTAGCTTTCGTTTTAACTAGAGATTGTTTGGATCAACCAATTCAAGGTCTTTTATACTTTGTTGCATTATTTAATCATGGGATTAATACTATCTCAAAAAAGTTAACCTAACCCATTAAGAAGACTATTCCAATTGCCTTATAAACCAAAGACCATTCACTTGTCTTCGTGGAGACATTTTTTTGATCAACTTCTATGGAGTTAAACTAAGTAAAAGTGCTATAATGCTGAACTTTTTTGTAATTTTATAGAGAAAATATGAGTTCATACTCCATTTATTCACCATTTGTCCATTTTTATGGGGTGATGGACTTAAACTTGTTGTCCTGATCATGTCAGCTATATAGTTCTAACCTAGGGCTATATGACACCACATGTTTGAAAGAATTTGACTGGTTTGTTAGTTATGCTACAACGGGTTATTATGGCACTTAGGCCTTATAGGACTTAGGCTTGCACCCTATGCCATAATGTCATGTCCCTGATTGACTAATTTTGCAGAGCTGCCTTTAAAGAGAGCATTTTCTCTATCATGTTATGATGATGTTTTCATATAATGTCTCTTAAAATATGAGTTTCGACCACTATTGACAGGGTAGGGTTAAAGTATCGAGCTATCCTGTCTAGACTCTTCGATGAGCATGCTCTATTTTAATCAACGACAACAATAAAATTGCATCTTCTTCTTCAAAAAGGAATTTAAGGTTAAACAATAGGAACTATCTTAGAAAATTTTACATGCTATGATATACAAATAGATATTCAGCGGTCACGTATTTAAGCAAAAAAATCATTTCATGTGTTGAAGTCTTAACCGAGATGAATAATCTATTTCCAATTGCCAAAGACTGCAGATGGATAGTTATAAATGAACATAATAGCTATAAAATATTATTGCGCTATCCGTCATTTCCTTTAAGTTGTCACTTGGTGATTTCCATAATGGTCAGTTTGGCAGAATTTTAATTTTGTTGCTTAACTAAAACGGAAAAAGCCATTTCACCAGATTGATTCTACCCGATTTTGTACAGATTCTTCACAATGGGATGAGTCCCATATGCTCTACATTTTTTGTAATTAAAGAATCTTTCATTGTCTTGAACAAGTCTACTAAACCCATAAATGCTAACTTCGTAATTGTAATAATCTGTACTTGTAATGAAAAGAATTTTGTTTGTTGTGAGGTCTCGATCTTTGATCTATTTCATAATGTTTTGGTTAAGTGGATGATTATTTCAATAAAGAAGATAAATTTCACATGTGTAGTCTCCAAAAGATTGGTTGGAAGAGTGTGTGTAGTTGGACAAGTCATTAATTATTTTTAAGAAATTAGAATTTTTTCATGTCTGATTTATGAAATGGAAAGTTAGAAGGCTGCTTAGTGAATTCATATGGTATTATAAATATATGTATTTTGGAAAATTGTATGGGTTTTCCTTCTTTTTTTTTTTCTTTCTTTTTTCCCTATGTATCAAATTTTAGAAATGAAATTGAGTCATGCGATTCTAATTTAAGCTGACAAGCAACCACAAATATGGTAATTTCGTAAATGCATAATAATTAAGTACAACTGAAAGATAGCTGAATAAAGAACAGTTACAAGGACATCATAAGCATCCATCAAAGTAAACTAAAACATGAAAGCTTAATAGGCAAATTATTAATCCCGCAAAAGAAATCAATCTGTAAGGCAATGCTTGAAAGCTCAAGATAGAATCTGCAAGAAGGCACAGATGGCTGAATAACAAACAAACCAAGGATTGGGCCAAGCTCCAATTGAAGAATGTGGTTACTGAAGCCCATAACCCAGAAGGACAATTAAATCTTCAACCCAGGGGCTGAAAGCCTGAAAAATCAAAGACGAAAAGGTAGTGGAGTGGGTGGAGGGAAAAAAAAAATCTTCTTATTTATTTATTTTTTATTTTTATTTTTAAGCCATTCAGACAATTCTTACATTACAGATCAAATTCAGTTGATTCAACACAAGTGTTTGAGCAACATAATTAATTTTTATATGAAGATTAAGACATTTTTAAAAAAAAACATAAGACAACATAAGTATAGAAGCAGTTTATCATTTGTTTGTAATATTCTTCAGGTTTTCAGTTAAAAAAACAGTAGATGAACCATGTTACGAATTTTAATTAAAATGAGCACGAATTTTGATTTTGTTAAGGTGAATCTAAAAAAAAACAATGTAAGAGTTGTAAGAAAAACAACTTTACTGGGATTAAACCGTAATTAAATAGTTGTGTTTGTTTTGAACACTGCCAATTCAAAATAGAAATTATATAATCATTAATCCCACCAAGAAAAAAAGAAAGAGGAAAGGAACACAAAAACAAAGGAAAAGAAAAACTAACCAGTTCTCCATTGCACCAATAATAAGAACTCGAAGACTATCATTTCCCGAGTTCTCTTGTTCCTCTTGTATTTGATTTGCTGAAGTTATGACAGAACTACCACAGTGAAAAACCTCAATGGATTGAAGAGTTGGAATTTCTCCAATACCACTAGGGATCTTCAGATAATAGCATTTCTTAATCACTAGGCGTTGAAGTTCCGGGAAGTGAATGCTGTCAGCTAACCACTTCTCAATATTAGTTTCTTCAAGTAGCAGAACTTTCAGTTGAAGAAATTCTCCTTCATCTACTTCCCATATAGAGCCTATGAACGGTTCGTCCTTTAGTTTGAGCACTTGAAGATTGGGCAGCGAACCGATGACCTTCATTTCTTCCCAATCACGGTGTCCATAAATTAAAGTTAACTTTTTGAGTGAATGAGGGAAAAATTGATTCTTTATGGAATGCACTGACCAACATTGGTAGGTTAATTCTTCAAGTTTATGGAGATGCACAAAATTATGCCCATCCTCTAATGGAATTTCGTCACACACTCCAAGCTTCTTTAGATTTGGAATTTTTTTGAGAACCTCCTCTGTACATCTGAAATTCTTTATCATGGTGAGTGTTTGTAGGTTTTCTAGAACAATAATAGGATTCTCCCTCTCATTTTCTGCACTAGCTGGATGATCAAGAAGTATTTGAGGCTTAATCACGACATGCCTTAACTCTTGCATTTCCCATATTTTTGAGTTCAGAAGACTCCAATCCCCATCCTCTATATACGTAACAATTAAGGTTTGTAGGTATCGAAGTTTGCACAAAGATGGAAAAACCATAGAATTATCAAACGCTGGGAAATAGAGGTACCGCAAGCTAACCAGTTGTTCCCATGCAAATGACATGCAAGCGGGATAATAGTAATTGTGGAATACTCTGACAAGCCTAAAATTTGAACTTTCTATTGTATCTGAAAACTTTCCCCACGTGAAAAAAAAAAAAAGACCGTGGTAGAAAACTTGGCAATGTTTCAGCTACAAGGTCAAGCTTCATTTCATGAGGAAGACCAATCATATGACGTGAAGTAATATCTTTTGACTCATCGAGGAGATAACAGTCAGTGGGGTGAAAAAACATCTCCTTTTTAGATTGTCTCATACACAAATCTCTCAATAGATCATGAATCTTGAATGTTTTGATTTTGCCCATGTAGTTTTTCGTACCAACCAAAATAAGATTTCTGTCTACAAGATCCAACAAATACTCCTCCGCCACATCTTCTAAGCTTTTAGATATTATAGGCTTTAGAATTCCTTCAGCAACCCATAAACTCACAAGTTGGAAAGCACTAATGTCAGAATCTTCTGGGAAAATTCCCATGTAAAGTAAACAACCTCTCAAATGATGAGGCAGATGTTTGTAACTTAATGATAGTACTTTTAAGCACTGTTCATCATTTGAAGTCAATGTTGAGTGCAAACTTTTCAAAATATCACTCCAATAATGTTCTGTTTTAATGGCCTTTGAAAGGAGCCCCCCAATCACAACAATTGAGAGTGGAAGCCCTCGACAATTTTGGGAAATTTGCTTCCCAATTTCATCTAGTTCAGGAGGGCAACAACCCTCACGGCCAAACACCGTGTCACAAAATAACTTCCAACTTTCAATGTTGTTTAGAAAACGCACTTGATGAAGTGGAGGACAAGAGTTGGCATGATCAGCAATCTCCTTTAACCTAATAGTCAATATGATTCGACTTCCATTACTGTCATTTGAAAATAATCGTTTCACATCATCCCACGCCCTCTTATCCCACAGATCATCTAGAACAATAAGGTATCTCGTCTGGCTAAGAGTCTTGTGTAAAAGCCCTTTTAATTTGTCACTAGTCGCTTGAAGCCGCATATTGTCAGGAGCATTTTCATGGAATCTAAAATGTCTAATATAAGTTTAGACTCATCATACTCTTGATCATATTCTTGAGATACAGTTACCCAACCACGAATATAAAAATGATCTTTAATAGATAAATCATCGTATATATTTTTGGCCAAAGTTGTCTTACCGATTCCACCCATCCCGAGAATGGAGAGAATTTGAAGTTTTGGTGATCCCATAATCAGCCGAGTCCTGATCTCCTCGAATTGATCATCAAGACCCACCATCGTGCTCGCGCCACTGAGAGTAGGTTTTGATGAGACAGCACCCAATGAAGTCCTTGGCCGCAGATCTTGTATGCGAATCTCGCCCTCAACCTTCATCACCTCTTCCTTAATGGAATGGATTTCTTCTATTACTTTCTCTAAGTCCTCATTGAAGGTCATGCAGCTCTCAGCCGGCGGCGTAAAAAAGGGAAGGCAGCCCAGCGCCTTTTTTACGTTAATGAATCCAATAATTATTTTCATATGTAAAAAGCAAAAAAATTCGAAAGGACTAGTCCCGTGCAAACTTGCTGATTCTGAAAGAAGTCCATCCACCAGGTGCGATTCAATGGTATCTGCTGCTCTGTATGCTACATCTCTGATTTGACTTTCCAAACGTTCTACTTTGTCATTATCTTCATGTAAAGAATTTTCAAGAAAATTCTGTAAAAAAGTAGCTTCTTGAAGAAACGTTTCAATTTGCTGTTTATCCTGATCAGGAATCAGATGGTGGTATAGGTTCTGCTCAATTGTGTTAGCTAGAGATGTAAGGGCGGCAAAAGCCATTTCTGATATCTTCTCACGATGCTGAAAGACAAAAAGTGTAAGAAATGAGAGAGTTGGGGTGTTCAGCAAAATTAGACCCACAAATTAATATAAGAATTGTTACCCCTAAAATAAAGAGCAACTTGCGATTTCTTTAATTGAATAACAGGCTGGCAAGAAGAATTTTACAAGAATATTGGTTGCATGACAATTTTTTGATAAAAATTTTAGTAGATAAAGTTGAGAAGATGTGATTAAAATTAATCCGTTTCACGGTTCATAAAATTTCATCGAAGTTATTCTTCATAGTTATAAATACAATCATGCTACATATTCATCAATATTTGACACTTAGTTTGACACCTATGTAAGTTGACAGGTTTTTATACATTAATTTTAACATTGCCTTTTCCAATCAATGATCAGATTTTTTTACACATACAAAAATGTCAAATAAGGTGTACGCAGTTTGTGTACAACTAACTTAATTCTTTTAAATTTGTCGTCCTTGACTGATAAAAGTACTTATTACAATGACAAGAATAATGAAAGAAAACTTTAAATTATACTTTTTTTTTTTCTTTTGTCAGGTAATAGTTACAACGTTTTATACCCTAACCTTGATCAAACAAAAACCGAATGGAGCCACTGTCAAAGGAGAGCATTATCTCTATCATGTCATGATGATGTCTTCATATGACGTCTCCCATAATCCCAGTTTCAACCTTTATCGATAAGGTATTGGGTCAAAGTACCGAGCCTACATGTTTGGGCTTTTCAACACGCAGACTCGTTTTACCAAGTCAAGGGGAGGCCTTAGCTTAGTTGAAATCGACTTCATCAATTGTATTCATTTTCTTCTTCAAAGAAGAATTTAAAATTAAAAAAGGAATTATCTTGAAAAATTTACATGCTTTCATATTCGAGTGGATGTCCACCGCTAACATATTTAAGCAAAAAAATCATTTCATACGTTGGAGTCTTAATCGAGATGAATAATCTATTTCCAATTTTTAAGTTAGGTGTGAATGCAATTGCCAAGGACTGCATATGGAAAGTCATAGATGAAAATTAATAGCTATAAAATATTATTTCTGTTGACATATTTTCCCAAATCGAATAGTCCAAGGAATGAAGCCCAATTGAAAAATTCCCAAATCAAATAGCCCAAAAAATGAAACCCAATTGGGCAATTCAGGATAAAGGCCCAGACAAGGTTGTTAATGAATGCAGTGGAAGCCCACGAACACAGTATTATCATCACCCAAACTTGCAAGACGCCCAAGATCTGAGCGTATGGAGTGCCTTACAGTAGCCCAGAGCGATGACCCTGTTCTCGCCCATACCTTGAAATCGCCCAAGATCTTAGCAAAACATAAAATATTATGGTTATCCAGAAATGCAGTTATGGAAGCAGTTATTGAGTAATCTTATCACATTCCACAATTCAAGGAACCCAGTTGAAGGCGGTTGAACGACAAAGAGTAGTGGCAGCAATTAGAGACGGCAGTTCCACGACAAGTTAGCCACCATAAAGAAAGTGGGTAGTTATAAAGTAATCAAGCAGTTTCCAAGCGGTTTGTCACGAAAAAATCATCAAGGGAATATAAAAGAAAGAGAAGACATAGAGAAAAGGACCCCGAATCAAACACTCTCAAACAGAGAATATGTAAATTCAATTTCTTAGTTTAAACTTAAACATTTCTTTCAGTATGTGCTTGCGCCCCTTGGAGGCATTCTGTTTAGTTCCAATTGTAAATCATCTCCAATAAAACACCCATTTTTGGGACTTTATCTCAAGAGGTTTGTTCCTTACACAATCGTCTGATCCCTTTTTAATTATTAGCGACCACCATCACAAAACAATTTGGCACGCCCAGTGGGACCTTGGTGTTTGATGTTGAAGATACAAAAGGTGAAACAATATGCCTCATAAATCTGATAAGGAAGTAGCAAGTCAGGGAGGAGTCCAGTCTGTGATCGAGCGATATGAGGAGCAGCAAAGCTCTCCACGAACAGAGGGACAGAGTCAGAGCAGTCACAGAGCAGTCACAGTCGTTACGAACCAATGATAGAGTTGAGTCCTCGAACCATGCGTGCATTGCTTGGAGAACTCACACAGGATGTCATTGAACAGGTAAATCTACGAAATGTTCATAATATGGAAAGATTTACCCAGAATGGGAATGCACATTATGAAAACATGGCCAAACAACTGAATACATTAAATGAAATACTGAATAAGTTAGTAGGCCAAATTTGTCAGCCAATTGTGCCTATTGCAAATCACTTTCAAAATAGGACAATAGTGGGACATAATGCCCCAGTTCTAAGTCCAAATAAGGGGGATAGAACCACCTTTTGGTCCATCTACCTCAAACCAGGGAATGGTGTAAGGCCAAATCAGAATAGTGGTAATGGTACATCTAACTTGTGGGGTAACCTAAATATAAGAGACAATGTCCTAAATAATGGACAGAATACCCCACGTGTCAGTGATGGAATAAATATTGGTAACAATGACCTAAATCATGACAACTTTGTTACCAACCAAGGACCAAATATCAGGCCTCAGGCAAATCAATCAACCAACCAACTTGTAGGAATTCCATATGACCTCAACGTCATGTTGAGAAATCAAATTATGGAAATCGTACAGGATCAAATGGCTTTTGAGGTACGTCCTGTCATTAGGTCGACTTACACTAAGTCATACCCTAATTGGGTAGACCAAGCATATCCATGGCCTAGAGAATATAAAGTGCCAAAATTATCATTATTTACCGATTTAGGAGAGGTGTCTACTCTAGAACACATAGGGCGATTCACACTGCAGAGTGGTGAAGTAACCGACTACCATAAAATGAGGTTGTTCCCTAGTTCATTAACAGGGGTAGCTTTCTCTTGGTTCATCAATTTGCCAGCGAACTCTATTCAAACATGGCAACAATTGGAGCAATTGTTCCATGCTCAGTTTTATAAGACTGAGTCTGAAATTACTTTGGCCAATTTGACGAATTTACGTCAAATGCCAAACGAATGGGCAGAAAGTTTTATTCAAAGGTTCAAGACAGCAAGAAGTAAATATTTTGTACCTTTGCCCGAAAAGGAGTTTGTCAAAATCGCTCAAAGTTGTCTGAATTTTAATTTGAAAAAGAAATTCCAAGACAGGGAATTTCCTGATCTTTTTCAATTGAGTGCAAACGTGATTATGTATGAACGATTAATAAGAGAAGAAGAGCAAATGAAAAATTCTAGCAAGGGGACTTATTATAGAGACCCAAATTTTGATGTTCATACCATTGATGACGAGTATTACGATCAAACCGAAATGTGCTTGGCCGAATTAATCAAAGGAGACGCATATACTTGTCCTATAATGGCTAAGCCTAGATTGTCGGGTAAGGATGAGCCTATAAAAGATGAAAACAAAAAGGCTAGAACGTTCTCGTTCGACGTAACCAAAGCTGACCTTATATTTGATAAACTATATAAGGATAAGCAGATAAAACTGAGCGATAAACATAAATTGCCAAACTCTGAACAAATCAAGGGTAAAAAATATTGTAAGTGGCATAATGCATGGTCGCATTTGACTAATAACTATTTGGTTTTTCGCCATGTGTTACATGACACCAGTGAATTAGGACGAATTACGTTCGAGGATAAGAAGAAGATGGCAGTGGATGAAAATCCTTTTCCATAGCCACTTGGGGTGAACATGGTAACGACTAGTTTCAAAAACACGTTGTCAAAATTCAAGTTGGTTATAGATGACGGGGAAGAGGACCCTGGGCCACATCCCAGTGTCTTTGAACGTATCAAAGGGAAGGAGCCCAAAAATGATGAAGACGTCCTGTGTGCAAGATGCAAAAGAGAAGTGAGTGCAAATACAGAGAAACCAGGGATATGGCAGCATCACCATCGCCTAGTTTTTTCCCAAACGCTCAGCCTGGTAGAGGGCGAGGTACATCATTTTATAAGGGACCGCCTTTTAAGAGGCAGTTCAGGCCAGTAAATAATGGGAGAACATTCAGGCCACAACCTCGGTAACCAAATGTATGACATTCGTTCCAGTATAATGCAGGAAGGGTGATACCCTTCAACGAGATGACTAGAACCCAACAAAGGCGTTTTCAACGGAACTATGGACGAATGATGAGGCAACAACAGGGAATGCCACGTCCTAAAGCACCTAAACTACTCGAGTTAGTCAATCAAAATGTTCTCAAAGATAGTGAAGAGACTGGTGTAGGTAATCAATGGAAGAATTTTCAGAAACTTCTTCTGAGAGATCGAAGTTTGAGCGAGACAGAAGAGATGGAGAAGATCCAGATCAGCTCCTTACTATTCAGTTCGGTACGTTACCTCCTGTCATGGCTAATAATTATTTACTGGCCAATGAGTTCAAGAACAAAGAGAAAGAAGAAGAAGAAGAAGAAAGGGAGGATAACGAAGAAGAAACATGTGTGCTGGAATGTGAAGAAGGTCAATCTTCTAGAGGGGCCTACGATAATGAAGGGGATGATGGTATAACGGACATCGAAGAAGAAATTGATCTGGAAGCAGAAAGAAGAAAGAGAGGGGTATCGCACAATACTCTGTTGAAGCAACTACATCGAGAGGGGGTTCGTGAAATGGACTTATTGGGGGAACCGTCTGGGCGTTCTTTCGATTATTACGTGCTGTACGGGACGCCCAAAAGGAAAAAGAGAGTTCCTCGCTCTGAAAAGTATGGATCACCTCCAAGAATAATGCCTCCTCCCACAGGTTGGGTATCCGAAGAAGAAGCATTAGAAAACAGCAAAAAGGAAATTCAAGAAATAGAAGCTCAGTGCGACATACTGCATGTTGACTTATCACAAAAGGATAACTCGACAGAGGACAAATAGGAAGTGGAAATAGTTGCTGTCGAAAATGTTATTTTTAAGAGACCAGCCATGAAGTTAACTAAACACTTGAGGCCATTGTACGTTAAAGCTTTAGTTAACGGCATACCTGTGGCAAAAGTACTTGTTGATAATGGAGCAGCTATAAACACCATTCCATCTAGGATGATGAGAAAATTTGCAAAGACAGAAAGTGATATGATTCCAACGGAAGTCATCCTT